CCACTTAATGCATGATACAGATTCTAATTTCTTAATTTCAAGTCTCACTTTCTTCATCCAAAAATGTTAATAATAATGTCTACTTCCTAAAGTTTACTTGTGAACTGATCTACAGTTAGCTGATGCAAGCTAATATGAAATGGAAGGCCCGATTCCTCCTTTCTAAGAACGTAAACATAAAAGCAGAAACTGGATTTATTCTTTGAAACATTACATAATTCCTCGTGCGTTATATTTTTCCTACAGTCCCTGTCATGTCAAAAATTATTGAATGAATGAATGTACATCTGGATGAGTGGTACAAGCTACAGGTGCTATTAAGTGTTCAGAAAAATGATAGGTACATGCATGCTGGAACACTGAGTGAATATCTGAAACTTGATCTTGAAAAGAGCTGAATTATGAATAGGTTGCATGATGAAGTAGAAAAAGGATGTGGAGGTACCAGTGCCATGATGTAGTAGGCTAAGCATCTACTGTGGTGCTAGTGTCCCATTTTGAGTCCTAGCTGTTCCAGTTCTAATCCAGTTCCCTGCTAATAGCCTGGGAAAGCAATAGAAGTTGGCCCAAGACTGGAAAGAAGCTCCTGGATCCCAGCTTTTGGACCAGCCCACCTGATCATTATAGCCATTTGGGAGTCAACCACTGGATGAAAAATCTCTTCATAGGTGTGTGTCTCTATATATATTTAATTCTGACTTTTAGTTAAAATTAATAAATATTTCTTTAAAGAGACATGAACACTCAAAGGATAATGAACAGATTGAGTAAGGATGGCTAGTCCTCTAAACAATGGTTAGATAAGAACAGGAAGTTGGAACAGTGCCAGGTTATCTGTATTCTCTTCTGTTAGATTTAAGTTTAAGAAAAAAGAGAGCGAGAGAGAGTGTGTGTGTGTATCTTTTTCATATTCCTTGCACAGATTATGGCACATAGCATGAACACAGCTGTATTTGGTGACTTCCCGATCAATGAGCAGCAGACTGACTGGTTGAGTGACTAGTGAAAAGCTTCACACATTAGCCTCAAGAAGTTTTTTTTTTTTTTTTTTAAGCAATGATAAAAATGATGTTCTAGGATAGCTCATTTCTTATTGGGGCATAGGTTGTCAGATGTGATTGAGGAGAATCAAATATAATTAAGAAATTCTTGCAGATAAGAATATAAGGGAAATGGAAAAATGAATCTTGTTTGAAATTGAAAGAAATAATTCTAAGATTTACTATGGGGAAACGATAGCTAAGAAGAAATATTGAAAAACTGAGTTGAGGATGTGTGTGTGTGTGTGTGTGTGTGTGTGTGTGTATAATTTATTGAAGGAATGCTCCCAGTTAAAACATGTAAAGGAGTGAGTGAGTGAGTGAGTGAGTGAGTGAAGAAACAGAACAGAGGAGGAAGAAGTATGACCACACTTTGGATTCAACTTCAGCATAGCCTCCTCTGGGGTGCAAAAGGCACCAGAGCTGCCCCTCCTCAAGTCAGGATGTCTCACTCTAGTGTATTCCCAGGCATTCACTGATTGTGTGCTGTCTCAGAAGATAAAGGAAGAGAGCATGAATTTACAGGCATTTATTTCACAGTTGACTTCCTTCTAACCAAGGGCAGTTTTCTGGAGAAGTGTCCAACTGTGACATGATGGTAGCCAGGATTCACTGAAGCTAGACTGTGAATGCATGAGACTGCAGAAGAAGTTTCTTGGTATGATACCAATAGTGTTGCTAGTCATGTAGTTGCTAGTCAGTAGTTTCCCATGCCATCCAGAATAAAATGCAAAGCCCTTTATGTTGACCTCCCACAATCTGGCTCTTTTATTTCTCTTTGGATTTATCCTTGAACACTCTATGTAAACTCTCTTTTCTCTTCTCAAATAGGCCATAGTCACTCTTATCTCCAGAATCTTTTGTGTGTGGCTTTTGCTCTGCTTAGAATACTTCAGACACTATGACCAACTTCTCATCACACAGGCTCCTCCATTCAAACGTCATTTCTTTGGAGAAACCTTCCACTTTCAATCTCTTCCCAAGAGGCCTAGAGCACCAGAAGCCTTGTCAGTCAATTTCCAATGAATTACCATTGGATGGATAATAAACTGATTCAAGAGAAAGAAGTGGTTAAGGGATTGAGATCTCCCTGAGATAGTAGATGAAGAACAGAAATAATGTTAGAAATAAGAACTGTGAAGAGTGACTTATTTATTTTTTATTTTTGGAAACAGTTGTGAAATTTTACTTTAGATATGTTGAATTGAGAAAATGGTTAAAAAAGAAAAGAAAAGAAAAGAAAAATACATGGTAGTGGCAGAATAAACCAATTAAGATCCCAGTTTCTAGAACTAAATATAGAACCCCCAAGATCTTGGGCAAACTTGAATGTATTATTTTTTTCCTATAAATGTGCATAATCATATCACCTGTCTTATAAAGTTATTGAGAGGGCTGAGTGAATTAATACCTATAAGTCAGATAAAACAGTATTGAGTATGGTGCACACCGGAACTGGAGCTAGGGAGAGATGGGTAAGGCAGCCGTGGGGCAAAACTTGAGAACATACTTGTTCTGTGGGTTATGTGAGAGTACTGGGCATGCTTTGTAAAGTTTGACCTCATTGGCTCTTTACTTGCATCACCACAGTTCTAGCCTTGTTCAGAAAAATTGAAAGAGAAAACCATGATAGGTCAGATTCTCTACATCCAGATTTCACATCTCTCTCTCTTTTTTTTTTTTTTTTTTGGCCTTGGTGGAGTGGTTTCTTGTTGTTACCAAACTTTGGGTTGCCTCCCTGTCGTTAGATTGCTTCTCAACTTCTCCCATCACTTGCACAACTTTCTCCTAAGGGCAGTCCCCTCTAGTCTACTGAGGGGCTCTTGTTTCTCCTGGTTGTACCCTGATATAACAAGTAATGCTCTGTAGAACTCCATTGTAAGCAATAAAATTTTAGAATGACAAATAGGAGCCAACATCTATAGAATTACTTCAATGTCTTAGATACTTTTATATATAAAGTATTTAATCTTCATCAGATTAGTGTCATTAGATCGTTTGCTGGAAATATGAGGTTCTCAAAAATTTAACTCAGTTAGGGTCACTAAGTAGTAGAGTTTAGATTCAAAATTAATCTGAAGGTAGAGTTTATGCCTTAATGCACTATACAGAATGTTTCTTGGTATCTAGACTGTGAGAAAACTCCTATCAAGAGACACAATTTCATTAGCTTTTTTCCAGTGACATTTTTTAAGCTTTTCACAAATATGGACCATTAGATATCCTCCTCCCTTCATTATTTTAAAATGGATTTATTGAGGTGAAATTCACATAATAGATAATCATTTTTGAGTATCCTGTTCAGTAGCATTTAGTATATTCACGGTATTGTACAACCACCACCACTTTTGCTTATAAACATTCTCATCATTCTAAAATAAAACTCTTTACTCATTAGGTTTCTTCCCACTTCTCTCTATCCCAGACCCTATCCTGTTTCTATGTATTTGCCAGCTCTGGATATTTCATATAAAGGGAATTATATATTTCACCTTTCGTGTCTAGCTTCTTTCACTTAGTATAAAGTTTTCAAGTTTATGATACTGTGGCATGTATCAGTATATAATTCTTTTTGTGGTTGAATACTATTCCCTAATACGTTTATACCACAATTTGTTTATACTCTCATCTAGTGGTGTGTGTTGGTTTCCACATTCCGGCTAGTATGAGTGTGTTGCTATGGCAGAATGTTGATTTTCTTTTTTGAAGGCTGATTATAGTTCTAACCTTTTAATCTATTCTAAATTTTGGAATTTCTGCCCATTTTCAGCCCACTGTATATGTACTTATGTGTAGGAAGTAGAGCGGCTCCACAGAGCTAAAGGGAAGCAGAGCAGACGTGGGTGGAAGAGAGAGGCCAATACTGCAGTTTTGGTGTTCTGTTTTGTTATGTTCTTGAGGGGACACTTAGCTTAACCATTGTGAGACTTTATGGTTATTAATAATCATTATTTCACATAAATATTAGTAAATTTTATTTATAGTAACATTTCTAGGTTAAAAATTTCATGCTTCTTTCAAAGTAAGAGCTAATAGAGAAGGCTGATCTGAGAATTTGCACAAACAAGTGTAGCTGTTTTCTACTCTATGAAAATAAGACTACATTTCTCTCATTAGGACAAGGAAGAGCAGATGAAGGAGGTATCACTGTAGTTTTGTAATTATATGAAAAGAAAATATAATGTAAACTAAATTACACAGATAAAATAAGTGGCACAGGTACAAGTTATTTAATTATGAAATGAAACCTCTGGAAAGAGGAGTATTGACAGCAACCTCATGTGCAGTTTACCCTGCCTTTTCATAATCAAACATATTACTTTGTTTCCATTCTTACTAACATTAGTAGGAGTTTTGAAACTTCGATTCGTGCACGTGTATGTAAAAATGTATGGGTCAAAGTAAATTGTTTTTGATTTTCAGTGAAAGAGTTTGGATCTTTCACAAGAACTGTCCTAGGAGGCAGCTTCCTTTTAGTTATAGAAGAATTGAAGTGTAAAGTTGCTATTTGGAAGTCTAAAGCATCAAAGGTAAGAAATTATTTTAAGGGGGAAGAAATGTTTTTTTCCAACTCTGAAGAACACACAAGTTCAGAGTCCTTGTTGTTGTTGAGTAAGAAAAGGACATTGGACACTTTCAATGGTCCCTTTCAGTTGGGTGCATCTGAGCAGTGTGAGGCATGCTAAGGTGAATTTTAATTAGGACTAAATTGTGGTATTACTCTTTCATACCCTGAACATCTGTTCCCTTCAGAAATGATGATTTATGTAGGCTATCAGAGCAGACAGCTTGCTACAGCTTATGTCACGGTTAGTGGGAAGCTGGTGGTAGCATTTCAGAAAACCAGCATCTAAATGGAGACTGGCCAGTGTGTGTAGATAATGGAGGATGGGGATAATAGTATGTCCATTTAAAATTTTGAAGCCAAATACTGACTCAACTTAAAAAATTATCTTCTAGACCATCTGTTGTTAATGAAGAAAGTAACTTGGGCAATGAATGGGCTGAGGCTTCCTATTGATATTAAAAGATTGTTCTTTCTATTAAAATGAAGAGACTTACTGAGAAGATCTCAATCTGAATTCTGTTCTTTAAGAATGGCATGGGGCAGGATGGACGTGAGGTTACAGTGGGAAACAAAACAATGACAAAGGTAATCTTGCATTAAATATTGAAATATGAAATAAATAGCAGATATTTATGGCTTTTGAAATATTTTATATTTTCTAAACACCAGTGTCAACTAATGAACTAAAATATTAACAAGGTATTATGCATAAGGAAAAAGTCATTTGTTTGGAAGTATGCATATTGCACTATCAATATAAATTACCCCAACAAAGCAATGATATTTCAGGATATTGTTAGAATAACATAGTTGGTCATTTACCTAATAAAAAGTTATATTTACACTGGGGAGCATTTTGTTTAGTTACATGTTTTAAAAATTATTTTAATTGAAGCCAGTTTAATCTTACTCCAAACCTCAGGCTTTCTCTTTGTTTAAGATTGTAATAAGACATGAACTGCTTTTGCCCCCTTGAGAGCATAAGCTAGATCTGAAATAACTAAAATACTATTTCAAAGTATTTAAGAATTTAAAAAAATATCCAATGAGCCTATGAAAATTATACAACATGGAAACTTAAAACTTTTAAAGTATTTTCATGTAAATATGTATTTCTAAGACTTAATTCTGATGTTCTTTGGTTTTTTAAACATATGGAAGAACTGATGGAAATTTAAACATTACATAGACTCAAACTCCATTTTTTAAACAAATAGATATTTTTTATCCGAATTCAGCTTTCTAGTTTTGAATCTTGGCTTTACCATTCTTTATTTGTGAGACTGAGAAACTTAGCTTCTCTGAGGCTCAACGTCCTCATTGAAAAGTAAAGATTACAACAGTGCCAACTTTATAGAGTTGCTTGAGTATTCAAAGTGTTATCACTCATGGAGGACAATAGTTGGTACTTTTAGGAAGTTCTGACTGAATGTTTTCTGTTTTTACCTTTGAAACTTGTACATCGTATCCAGTTGAAATTGTTATTACTAATAGTAATTGTAAACTCAAAATAGGCATAAATAAATTTGTTTTGCCAAACTATTTCAAATTGAATATTTGTGTAGGTATTGGGAAAAAATTAAATATCTATTTATTGAACTATGCAATTTTGTGGTTGTTTTATAGCCACAACAAGTTAAGAGTAATTGCGTAGGAGATAGGAGATCTGGGTTTTATTTTCTTCTCATCTTCAGATTTGGATTGTGAGCAAAACAATGGATGCTACACACTAGAACAAATTGGTATGAAAAGTTGCAGCATCCTCCCTGGAGGTTTTGAGAAATAGAGAAGATAGGTATATCCTCAGGATTGCTAAATGCAGTCAATCTTGGAGACAGACGCTGGGTTCGAGAACCTCTTAAGTTCACTTCAGCTCAATCTCTGTAATTCCATGCCTTGGTGGTAAAATTGTAATAGTCATATTTATAGACTACGTGTTCTTAGTTGAAAGGTTATATTTAAATAAAAATGTCACTATTTTGAAATTTTTTTGTAGAAAGCAGTTTGTTTAAAACTGGGTGACCTTACAAGTTGTTGAATTTGAAAATGTTATACAATTTGCAAAATATATGAAGGAAATTACCCCACAATTAATTTATTTACACATGTTTGTCTAAATATTACTTTTAAGAATGTGGTAAATGAGAGGAGGCAGCAAAATGCTGGTCTTGGATGTCAGAACACTCTGGGAGAAATAAAATAAGGCTACCTAATTCATTTGAAAAGGAAATTTAATTTTTGAAATCTCTGTTTTTAATCACAGAGCAACACATTGTTTTCAGATTAAGTGCTAAATCAGTAATGGAAATAAGGAGGTGACATAAACATAGGCGAAATTAAGATTATTTTTCTTTTAAAAATTAGGCTTTTTGATAATTTATTAATTAGTAGTAAATACTGTCAAATACATAAAACTGAAGTAGAATGCAGAGGACTGTAACATGTTAAGGACTGTTGCAGTGCGGTAAGGAGAGAATTGGTGGTGGCTGGTAAAAGGAAGCAGTTAAAGCATGCAAGTCCTTTGTGACTTGAAAATGAATCCAAGGAGGATATGACTATATTTTAACCATAAGCAGAAAATGAAAAGGCATTTTAAGAGATCACTTAATTATGAATTTTGAAATGAGGGCTAAATGTTATTTCTTCATTAAACTTTGGAACATCAAAACAATATAACATATCTTTGAAACTTGAACCTGGTAGATTTAAAATTATTTGGCATGGTTTTAGTAACTGTTTAGTAACATGGTTTTGGCACCTGCTACTATAGGAAATTAGCTAAACACATATGAGGGTGCTTCAAGAAGTTCATGGAAGTGGAGTTTAAAGGTACTTACTTTGACGCAAAAATTTTGAAATCCATGCTTACATGAGATCTTCACATACTTCAAGGAAAAACTTATCCCCAGAACAGACTACCTCTCTCTATTATCTGACAACATCCTATAGGTGCTGTGTCTTCAGAAAATTCATAAAGAATGCATTTTATAGAAGCATTTTCAAAATTTTTTTTGCTATCCATATAAACAACTTTTAATTCCATTTTGCATGTACATTTGAAGTATGCTTTACTTAGCACAATATAAGCCCCTGCTTGGCTTTTAAGAATGGCTTCTAGAACTTTTGTCTCAGAATCATCTGGGCTTTGCCATAAAAATCCAGACTCTTGGGGCCAGCATGGTGGCATATAAGGTTAAGCCAATTCTTCCAAGGCTGGCATGCTATGTAGGTTCTGGCTTATGTCCTGCCTATTCTGCTTCTGATCTAGCTCCCTGCCCATGTGCCTTAAAAAGCAGTGAAAGATGCCTAACATTTGTGCCCATGCTCCCATTTGGGAGACCTAAGTGGAACTCCTGACTCCTGCCTTCAGTCTGGCCTAGCCCCAGTCATTGTGAGGCGTGAACTAGTAGATGCAAAATCTCTTTTTTTCTTTTTCTCTGCAACTAAGACTTTCAAATAAATAATGGAAGAAGGGCATGTAACAAGTCTGGCTTTGATAAAAATAATAAATTTGTTTTTATGTGAATCTAATTCACTATAAATACATTTCCCTGTTATTACTGAAAAATGACATAAGTACTGAATTAACCACGCATGTGACTATCAAGTTGTAACTAATCAGAATAGTTTTTTTTCAACCTTATTAAATGGAAGACCTTTGTTTCTCTCTTTGTAACTAAGGTTTTCAAATAAATAAATAACGAAAGGAAGGCATAGTTTAAGTGTAACAAGTCTAGCCTTGGCAAAAATAATAATCCCATTTGTATTTGTATATGAACCCATTTCACTGTAAAAGCTTTTCCCTGCTATTAAGGAAAAATGACCTAGGTACTGAATCAATTACATATACATGACTCTTACGTTGTAATTAATTGAAAGTCTATCAAATGGTTTTAAGGTGCAGCAAAATTCAGACTTCTCTGATGTTTGCCATTGACTAATTTGAGTAATATCAACAAAAACCTTAAGAAACTTGAAAGACCTAGTGGCTAACATCCTCGCCTTGCACATGCCAGGATCCCATATGGTCACTGGTTCATTTCCCAGTAGCCCTGCTTCTATCCAGCTTCCTTGTCCTGACCTGGGAAAGCAGTCAAAGACAACCCAAAGCCTTTGGACTCTGCACCCATGTGGGAGACCTGGAAGAGGCGCTAGGCTCCTGGCTTCAGATTGGCTCAGCTCTGGCTGTCTTGGTCTCTTGGGGAGTGAATTATTGGACGGAAGATCCAATAAAAATAAAATAAATCTTAAAAAAAAGACAGGTCCAATTCAAGTTAAATAAAAAAATGATAGTTGTGGAATGTTCACACACATATTGATAATTATATCAGTGGCGAATTCTGCAATAATCTGGGTAAATAATTTAGAGAATATTTTAGAAGATTTTAAAAGGACCACCTGCATAATCAAAAATGAGTAAAGATGATCAACAATGGCTCCGACAAGGGAGATGAAGTATAATTAATATGCCTGAAGTTCTTTAAACAGCTTTTTGTAAAAATAGAAAAAGTTGATACTAATTATTATCTTTATTATTTTAAAGCTTAGTGTAATATTTTATAGCAGTGATTAGTATGTGATTAAGAACATAAAATGAGATTTCAATGTAGAAATATGTAAGAATGTTTAATTTATCAAGTATACATTTGACAGGATAGTCTCTCATCAAGTGGTATAAAACCAAATTACCTTCTCTTTATTTAGTGTGAATTCCCAGATTTTAATAATTAGGTTATTCTGGAAAAGTATAAGTAATTATTTTGCAATCAGAATTTTACATTTTTAAAAGATTTATCCATTTTTTATTGGCAAGTTAGATATACAAAGAGAAGGAGAGGCAGATCTTCCATCCGCTGATTCACTCCCCAAGTGGTCGCAATGGCCGGAGCTGAGCTGAGCTGAAGTCAGAAACTAGGTGTCTCTTTTGCGTCTCCCGTGGAGGTGCAGAGTACCAAGGCTTTGGGGAATCCTCTACTGATTTCCCAGGCCACAAGCAGGGAGCTGGAAGGGAAGCAGGGCTTCTGGGATATGAACTGGCAGCCACAATGGATCCCAGGTGTGTAAGATAAGGACTTTAGCCACTAGGCTACACTGCCAGGCCCTAGAATTTTTTTGTTGAATTAAACCTCAAGAAAACAAACATGAATTTTCTCAATGGGATAACTGGATTGGGAATTTTTAGCTTAAAATTTATTTACTAATGATAGTGAAGGGTGATCCTTAATATATTATTGTTTATAGCTTTATGTGTATACTTTATATTTTAATTACTCAGAACAAGTAAAAATGGTTACCTGTAAGTATTTTTTAGATTAATCTCCTTTCATACTTTACAATTGAAGTGTCAAGATGAAGTTTATCAAGCTGAGAATCAAAGACTTATGTGATTACCTAGCTGAGCAACTTAGAAAACCGAAACTGTAAGTTAACTGTCATGTACAAATTGGATCAGCTGGAAAAGCAAATAGAGTCCCTCACATTTGTATTATTTTGTTTTGCATTCTCTTATTTCAAGAGAAATTTTTTATTATTCAAATTTGCCAGAAATATGCTTTTTTCACATAATATATGCACATACTAAAAAT